CTTCTTGATGCGCAGTTTCGATGGACTTTGCCCGACCTGGGGCTCGAGACAGGGCGTCTCCGACAGTAATCTGTTTCCAAGATACGTGTACTACCTTGATGGTGAAACGCTGGAGACAAAGCAACGAACGCTGTAGTCCAGGGGAGATCTTGTGAGAGTACTCGCAGTGCAGACCGATGAGGGATATGCGATCAGTCTCGACGACAATGCTTCGAGAACAGATGTAGTAATAAAACTGCTCACATGCAAGGTTCATTTTTAAGCCCCGCATAACACTGTTGGGCCGTTCTGAGTGCTGCTGATGCATAGGCCACTGGATGACAGTTTTGATGGAGGACGCTGGCGATCCCATATGAGCTTGCGTCTGTTGATATGAAATTGGGCTGTTGTGGGTCGAAGTAATATAGCACTGGAGCAGTTTTCCGGTCATGTTTGATTTCTTTGAATGCCTCTGACACCATAGAGGTCCAGTGCCAGGTCACATCAGACCTGAGAAGCTCTCGCAGAGGTTATGTTTTTGCGGAGAAGTTTGGGAAAAATCTTATTAGGAACGTTGCCATCCGCAGTAATCGTAAAAGGTCCGCCTTGGTCACTGGCACTGGTATAACGTTGATCTCCTTCACCTTGTCGGGGTTAGGAGCGATACCCTGTTTGTTGAGTTGGTGACCAAGGTAGATGACGGACGGAAGTCCCAACCTGAGCTTGTCACAATTCATCTTGAGGTTGTCACGTTCTATCGTAACCACTTTTCGCAGATAGGCTACATAGTCACTTGGCGTTTTCGACGCAATAAAAATGTCATCGAAGTATGGCATTACAATGCCTTGACCATCAAAGATTGTTTTGATTGCCTGTTGAAACTGTCCAAAAGTAGTGCTAAGTCCAAATGGTACTTGCAGGAACCTATACCTTTACCACGGCTATGCGAATGTGCACATGAAGGAGCTCTGTTCTTCAAACGCTAGCTGCCAAAAGGTGCTCTTGGCATCCTGGACAGAGAACAGTGTGATCCTACTTAGACGTGCAGAGTTCTTCTGGAACAGGAATGTGATAATGCTGCCGTTTTACTCCTGCGTTCAAGTTTCTCGGATCCAGCCAGATTCTCACATTTCCACTTTCCTTTTTGATTATAACGATGGAGTGGACCCAGACTTTTAGCTCTGTCACTCTTTTGATATTGCAGTTCACTTGCATCCCCTCGAGTTCTGCTTTCACTGCGCGTTCGAGTGGACTTGGCACTCTTCGAGGGGCCGCTACAGTAGGTTTGCGTCGGGTTGGAGGTAGGTGGTCTATTCTCCAGGCAGTCTGCCAATTCCTTTGAACACACCGGGGAAGTCCTGGAGAACTGCTGCGAACTGTTGTGAATCTGGATGGTTGGCCTTCTCTGTCGCTTGGATGTTCTTCACTCTGTGCACCAGGTTTATTTTCGTGGATTCCTCTGCCATTAAGATGGGCTTGAGGTTTCCGTTATTCAGGAGAAACCTCAGGTTACTTGGTTATCCTTCACTGAGCCAGGCAGTTTACACTTATTTTCTATATACAGATACTCACCAAGATAGGTAGTTACTCTTGCGTTCGTTTTCTTGAGAGTTGGCTAGGGCGTTCATTTTGTTACAAGTCACTCAGGTAGGAAGTTCACATCGGAGCCTGTGTTAAGTTTGAAGTTCACGTTGTGGTCATTTACATTGTTGTTTTCAAGACAGTCATACGTGTGCCTTCTTCAATGTCGTTGGTCGTGAGGCTCCCCAGAGAGAATTCTTCAAAGCAGTCATCATCCTGGTCATTGTGCAACCTCCGCTCTTCTCTTGGGCCTTAGCGCTGTTTCTGTCAACAGACGCTGGCGATATGTCAGATCTTGCGGCAGGAATAACAGGTTGATCCATATAATGGGCATTGTTAAGGTTGGTGCATATCGCCAAACTTGCTGCATGCTGTTTTCTTGAGCGCTGTATCCCTGTTCTCGCAGTTTCGTGACTGCGAGAACAGGGATACAGCACTGTTCTCGCAGTCACGCGTGAACAGCGCTGGTGAAGGCTGACTTTTTGGGGTAGTGCTGTTTTCTCGACGAGTCTGTTTGCCTTACTGCGGCTCAAGTTCTCCCCAGTCGACGCACCTTATTGTCCATCCGACGCAGCCTCCAACAATGATACATGACGCTTTGATATTGCGGCCGCTCTGCACGTCGCGATAATTTTTTCGAGAGTCAAGTTTCTCTCCTGGAACGTCCTTTCGCGTAGAGCTGCGTCGCGAATGCCGATGGTGATTCTGTCGCCGAAAAGGCGGTCATGCTTGTCGTCCAAGTCACACTTGTTGGCTTTGTCCTGAAGTTAATTACGCCATGTAGCCATCAATCGGCTGACTCTCTTTCGGGTACATGCTGTTGAACATGGCTCTTGCTTGCGTTACATCCTTGTGAGGGAGATACTGTTCGTCAACTTTTTCGCGAAAATGGCTGCGACCTTGTCTCCGATTTGTTCAGCTTCGGCTGGAGAGGGGAAGTAGAAAGCCTGCAACATCTTCCGCGCGGTCGGACCATGAAAAAAACACCCAACTTATTAAGGTAGATTCATGTAAATAATTAGCAGTTATGCTTACAAGCGACGAGAGGTGGAACCACCACATAAACTATAATACCGAGAAAGCATTTACAGGGACTGTCCGGTCGAAACCGGAAGTACTTAAGTTTTTAGGCTCGTTATGTCGAGGGAGCCTTTATGTATACAAACGTCATTTTTATTTTGATATATGATCTCCCGTTATTAATTAAACCTTTCATGAGCTTATGTACGAGACTGCGCCCCGAATGTCGCAATTGTCAATGGCTGACATCCGTAACTGCTGCGTGACGTCACAAAACGCAAAGGTTTGTCGGATGGTCGGGATAACAAGCGTTGATTGATGGATGACTTGTATTTTGTTTCGAATTATATAGTCTTCTGTGCCCTACTGAAATGCGATTCTTCTAATGCAGTTTCCAAGCATGTGCAAAAAAAGACACGCCTTTTAGCAGGATATTACTCGAAAACAGCCATAAGCTTCGAGCAAACGTATGCCGTTTTGCGCAAACACCACTGCGACGGCTGCCGATCGAACTTGCTTTGAAAGCATCCTTTGCTTTCAAAGCAAAGGATGCAGATTTCGCCTCTGAAGCGGCAACTAGGTACAAGAAGCGGCATCTGGGTACGCATTTTTCCGGATCCACTGGATCGGTGATGAGCCTGCGGGTCGTTCCAGAGGCGATGTCCGCGAGTCGAAGGCAAACGGCGAATCGTTAAAATGCATGTCGTCACTTGACTTGGACGAGCTTGGTGAATCGTAGCCGCACTCTATTTCCACATGCGGGTCAAACAAAGTTTGGCTGCACACGTGCTAAATACAACTTCTGGTATCGTTTCCAGGTGGTCTACCTGTTGTTTTCGGTTTCCCTGAATAATCAAATTGATTGATCCCATTTGGGCGAGGAGTGGATGAACGTAGTTTAATATCGTTGGCACAGCATCACACCTCAGCTTACGAGTCTTCTGTCCGCTTAGAGCTCAGCTCGTAGCTCTCTTCTGAGATTATTTCTGCATAAGCGGGATCTTGACCTTGACGGGAACCAAGTCCCTATGCACGGCGACGGCCCATTTTGCTCGTCACTGCACGTCTCGCGGAAAAGTGCGGAACGTCATGTCTTGGCTCGCATGTGCTGCCCGGTGGTTGGCGCACAACAACAAAAACGAAGCACGTTGAGCCGTTCACTCGCAGGTAAACGACGTGACACAAGTGCTCGCTTTGTGTTGTGTGACGTCAGTGCTCCAATGTTGCCATCGAAAGGAGCGTTTACGCTAGAATTCGATTGGAGCAGTATAAATTCAATTACTCATGCAGAGGGGCATATAAAATTAAGATATTGCACGTACGATGGGTCTCGAGGCAATAACAATGATATTCAATAGGCGATATCCGAAATTGTCAGCGCCATCCAAAGAACGGGAGAGGAACCATGTTCGCCCTCTTGGAAGTGGCGACGAGCGGCCGGAACGGCCGGGAGGCTTTGCGCGCGGTCTCGTATGTGCGGCGTACCCTTGGTGTTCTGCAATTGTATGCATGCGTGTAGCCCGTGTAGCAGTAAATAGGGTTTTTCGACGCTGGCAAGATGACTGTGCATTGGTGCGTTCCACAGTGCAAGCAGCGCGGCGTCAGCGACAGCGACAGGAACAAGGAGGATCTCCTTTGACGGAGTGTTTTGATCTTTCAACTTGGAGCCGATTGCGTAGTATGTGGTTGGTGACGTGACCGCGAGCTAGCGCGACTATGTCTCTGCAGTAAAAGATAAAGCCAAGAGGTTTCGTCCTTGTCGCGATATATTGGCGAGACTTACCGTAACTGTCCGTACGATAGGGCGGCAGCGCGGACTCACGCGCTATAGTCGTGATTCTGTTCGACCGGAATCGTTCGGCGCAGGTAGCAACACCCGCTTGCTTTTGCCGTCTCATTTGCTACATTGTTTTCTGCTCGTTGCCATGTCAAAAAAAAAGTTTTGATGTGTTTGTTTGGTAATCCCCGTTTTGCTAGTGAGCACCAGTGAAATTATTTAAACGCGTGTTAAAAGCTGCGCGTGCCAACGGCGCTTCTAAATTGTTTATTCAGTGTTTTTTTTTCTTTTCTAAGTATCATTTTATCACTTTCCGAGAGATCCCATCCTCTACGAGAAATGGATTATCGCAATGAAAAGAGACGAAGGTGCTAACTTCCGCGTAAACATGAAATCGACGAAAGTGTGCTCCAAGCATTTCCGTACATGTGACTTTGTACCTGGCGTGGCTAGCGGGCACAACCTCCTTAGGGACACTGCAGTACCGTCAGTGTTCGCCTTCAAACCGCAAAGCAATGTTCGAAAGCCCCCAAAGCAACGTGAACCACCACTGCTAAAGAAAATGACCAGCCACTGCAGCCAGTGGCACCGACAGCTCAAGCAAGTGAAGACGTGCACCAAAACGCGGTGATGGGCAGCAGTTATGGAGTGTATGCCGCTGTTGCAAGCCCAGTGGAACCTGTTCACGACTGCTCTTCACGTGATGCAGAAGCCGAGCACCTTGCAAGTGTAGTTGACCAGCAGAGGAAAGAAATAGCACGGCTTCGTGATGAACGTGAACAGCTGAGACAGCAACTGGAAAACGCAAGGCAACGCTACGTGTGCTTCATGCAGAAAAAATCCGCCTCTAGTCCCAGGTTTTGCAAGAGCAGGGAAGATCAGCTTCCTTTTGCATTGAACGCTTCAAAAACTGTGATGAAGACTTCATGTTTTACACTGGTCTACCGGTATATCAACACTTCGCAGCATTGCTGCGTTTTCTGGACATTGGAAAAGATGGCTGCAATGTCTTGCGGACAGAAAGCAGCAGCTGGTAGAATTCTTTGAGGGGCCGTAAGCGAAAGCTAACCACAGCCCTTAGCAAAAAGAGGCCGTACTTCAAACGAAGTTGAAATATATTTAGTACGAATATTCATTTTGTATTTATTCTGTATTATTTTGGCCGCATTGGAAATACGCGCGTAAGGTATTCAAAATACATTATAAATATGAATCAAAAAATATTTTAGATATACCAAAAATATTATCCCTTCACACTCAAGATGCCATTTATGCACTAAAAACCGGTTACACAATATTTTTTTTTTCCTATTTTCGGTTTTGACAGCAAATGGTGTCCTGTGGTATTTGAAGGCACTACTAAATACATCTCACAAAGCTACATTAGTGACGAACACAAACACAAACACCATGACACACTGAACAGCTCATTCACAGTCCCGTTGACTGCTCTAGAGCCTTATATAGCCTACATATTGAAGGTAATCATTTTTTCGGTGACCACCTCTTCGCTTATTAAGGTTCCAAGTATTCGATCTTCTCCTCGGGAGTCTGTCAAAGGGGAAACAGTGTTTTGAAGTTCGTGGACGATATCTCTTACTAAAAGGAATTGGTACAACTAATAACAATTCGGCGCAGTCCCTAATACAATATCCACACAAACGGCTCATAAAATACATGTTATTGCTTCTCTGCGTAGCACCACTCAGGACGAAGCGAATCAAGGCAGTTTCTTCACTTTAAAATACTGTAAACGGCTTTATTTTCGTGAGGACCTAATTCTCGCAAAGTTCGCGAATCGCCTACAATTCCGAAAAATAGGTCCCGTGAACAATTCCGGCAAAATGTTAAAACATTAAAATCTATATTGCGATCCCAGCGCGTCGCGAAAATTAGAATTTGCGAATTATTCCAAAACTCCAACTTTGACCTAAATCGCGAAATATTGAGCCCGCGAAAAATAAATATTTTACAGTAGTTGTTTTGCCTTTCCTTTTTAGTAGTTGACTATTTAATATGGTAGTTAATGTCACTATATTAAAGTCACTATTCACATCACGTACAATGGTGAGTATACACGTTCAGTGAACTAACATTGTGCTAACAAAACCACGCCAAACGTATCTGTTTAAGCACCTACTGAAGCTTTCCAACATCAGCATATGTTGTGGTTGTAGTTCCCGAACCCCGTTTGTGATTGGTGTGCAAGGAACTGATCAGGTGTGTTCTTGATAGAAAAAAGGAAACAATAACATAAACTGGGCTGATTTATCAGTGCGATGCTGCGCAATTCAGTAGACAAACTAATCAAATGTTGTATTTAGGCGCTTCAGTGTACTCCATATCTGCTTGAAGTGAACTTCTAGAAGGGGAGCTTTTCAATATTTTGGTAGTTTAAGTCAAACTACCAAAGTATTGCAGTCAAAAGGTACTTAGAGTATAACACAACAGTATTTACGATATTCAGGTATTTTAAGAGTATTCTGCACGTATTTTTGATTGCTCCATTTTTTTAGGGTTGGAGTATATTTTGCATGAATTAAATAAATATTTCGAGAAATATATGTGAAAGGTATTTTGTGCCTATTAATCTAGTATTTACATATTTCAAAACGCATGAAGGGAACTTCAAATGTAGTCGAAGTAAAGGTATTTTAAAATGATTTTTAGAAGTATATTTTAGTACTAAGTAAAAAAAAAAGAAGTTTATATTTTCGGTCTATTTTTCGTGTACTTACAATTATGTACTGTACTTCAAATACACTCAAATTAGAATGTGGTATATTTAAAACGTATTAGTTTTCGCCAAGGGAGAGAATGAACTATTTTTACTTCTTGTGAGACTATGTCTTGGTCTCTTCGAAGCAGACTTGGCACACAGGTTTTCCATTGCGCAGTCCACAGTGTCAAGGATTGGCATGTCCTGGTTGAATTTCCTATATGCAAAGTTGAGCTCATTTCCCCTGTGGGCACTAAGGGAAACAACAGATGCAATGATGCCAGGCGATTTTGTTAAGAAAGACGCATCAACGAGGGTAATTCTGGATGCAACGGAGGTGCAGTGTGAAGTGCCGACCTCTCTGTCGCTTTAGTCAAGCACATACTCAATGTACAAATCTGCAAACACCTTTAAAGGGCTTGTCGGTGTAGTGCCTAATATTTTTCTGGCCTTCGTGTCCGAGCTTTACACAGGATCGACATCAGACAGAGAAACTGTCATAAGGAGCGGCTTTTTAGAGATGACATTTGAAGAGAATGATTCCGTGATGGCAGATAAGGGTTTCCTCATTGAGGATTTGCTTGAGAGAAAAGGTGTAAAGCTGAATCTACCGCCTTTCTTGAAAGGCCGCACATTCACAGATGGACAAGCGCAAGAAACAAAGGAAATCGCATCTCTAAGAATTCATGCGGAACGTAGAATACAAAGAATTAAGGCATATCATATCTTTGCTCGGCTGATACCACTGACCCTTGCCCCTGTAGCTAATCAAATTTGGATAGTGGCAGCTATACTCACGAATTGTCAGTCCCGTCTCATAAATCGCACAGGCAGCGCAGATATGATGGCAGGCTGAAGCCTAACGAACATAATTATGACCAGCACACGTAAACTTTGCCTTTCCCGTAAAATATTGATTATGTGCCCACTCGAAGTACAGACACAATCGGGAGAAAGGGGAACGGGCACTCCCTAGGTTTGGGTACGAAAAAGCAGGACAGACTTGCGAGGGACCTTGCTTAGTGTGTGTGCCTTTAAATAGGGGGTGGGTGCCCGTTTTCAACATGGGCACATGCTCTGTAGTTTCCCGATATGTTCACTTCATTTTATACTTTGTGTTTGTGTGTCGAAGCTTTGTGCGACTTGTATGTGTGCTGACCTTCACGAAAGAAACCTGTCATGAGTGTAGTGCTTGTATGGTCTTTTTTTGTTTCATGCTCGTTCGTGAGAGGAAGCATTTTGTTGAAAATGCAGAGATGGCTGCCGGCGTGATGGACCGTAAATGCTACTGTGCCGAGGGGAGGGGTGACGAACTTGATTGAAACACAACAGTTCACCCACCCAGAGACATCTTTATTCTTTATTTAGCCCTAGCTACTGCAGTTTGACCTAGTTTACTTGCGAGCAACATAAGGCGACATATGCCCAAAGTAAAAATCATCAAGCTTTCGACGCATTTCCATCAAGTCCTGAAATTTAAAGCGAATACGCTCAACGACTATCCACTTCTCTGAGCAGACAAAAGTCTCCCCAGCAATATCTAGTCAGAGCCATTTGGCCAAGCATCTGGGCATAATGGTCATGGTCCCGGTCAAGATGTGGCTTATCGTTTTCATTGAATTTTATGAAGAAGTTCTGCATCCTGGCATAATCTGGATCAGTGTCTTTGAGTGAATACGAATATTTTATTTCGAAGACTCCATACGAGAGCTCCTCTGGATCATATACCAGCCTGTCAAGTGTGGCACCAAGCCGCGGGAATCCAGGGTTTACTACTAAGCCGCAGTGTTGGAGCGACACATTGTGCTTGAAGTTAGACATAACAGCTGTATAGCGGTCCGCAGCCAGACTTTCATTTCTTAGCGCATACTGAACTGCACGAACATGCGAGATGTCTTTTGGCTCGACGAGGTTCCGCAAGCCCGTTTCTGTCCACTGTTCTCGCTTGGATCCACGACAAAAACTTGACATGGTTAATCGGTTGCGCCGCGTGTCTCGCCAGTGCGCACTCCGTCCTTGCTGTCTGGAGTTCAGTTCGAGCTCCCTGGCACTTTCCGGCGACACTTCGATCCCCTGCGACAAACGGTAAAAGTCGTTACAGCATATGAACACTACATATATGTAACAGCTCTCCGCCCGATTACTGCATTTTTCCTGGCCCACCAGCCTTGCTAAGAAGTGATTGTGCAAAGTTTTTCTTGTCCGCTGGACTGAAAATGATAATGCAGGATGTTATGCTTAATGCATAAACCTGCAGGGCAGTCAAGTTTTGCCTGACATGTGGCACAACCTAACCCCAAATATCTGCAACATCGAGGTAGCCCTTTCGCCATGTTCGTTGTTGTTAGAGTGCAGTACTGTGAAGTCTCTGCTTCCACTTCGTCGGTGCTGACTTAAGCAGTCTTTGTTTGCGTATGGTTACAGCAGTCGCAACCATATTGACTGTCCCGCGCATTTCCATATGACTTCACTGAAGGGCAGCCACTCGAAAGCACCGAAGGTGTGAAGGTTCGAATGCTTAGCAGGCGAGAAGCCAGATTACCATCGAGGCTGTGGGAGAAACAACACCGTTAGGGATTGACAATTTTCATAAGACATGGAATGCCTGTTTCACATGCAGCGACTGTACGAGTAAAACTGGTACAACAGCAGGCGCAGTGAGAGTCATCGCAACGGTTGGATTCACATGTTCTGGCCACCGTCGCAATGTCTGATGTAGCGCCACTTTTTTGTTTTTGCTTACAATACAATGTATACGCCTTCATATACATGAATATATCACGTTTACATGAACTAACCGACAAGTTCACATTTCTACATTGCTAATACAAGACGAGGCATTTCAGTTTTAGCCTTGCAACGTGCATGAAACGCTGTCTCTCATGGTCACGTGGCACACAGCAGACGCTGCCGACGCTGCAACAGGATTCCAGCTGGGTGGAACCCTGTCGAAGAGCTGCTGCGACAGTGCCACTGCAATTTTAATCGGATAAAGACAGGAATTGCAGCATGTGAAACGGGCTTACTGGCGGCATCTCGTACGCATAAACATAGGCGGCAACAGCGTCGCCAATGCGAGCCGCACTGGCGATCAATCGACGGTGGCGCACTCTGACCAATAGCCAGCGGGTATGCGTCAAATTTACCTTTATAAGGTGCGTGCAAATCTCTGAAATAAACAGTTGTGAGTCAGCGCTCGTCTTGTGTACTTCTTTGCTTGGTGGCCTAGTTTGCGCTATGCATTATGTCTTACGATCATACCAACCAGCCCAACAACGTATTGTACTGTCTGCCATGGTTGCCGTAAGCAGCACTTACCGTCAATATTTGCCATTCCTCCGCACTGAGCGTGCCAGAGAATGTGCGCTATGGAGTCCCATCGAAGAGGGAGAGCTCCGGTACTGAAGTTGCAAGGCCGATTCCTGCAGAAATGTTTGCCGAGGTCCACGTCTTGTAGCCGGAGTGTAGCATTGCCTGCTGATAAGACAGCGGTGAACCAGCAGGTGCAGGCCCCAGTTTTGTGTCCGTTAGCGGCCCTCGGGCAGCCAGTAGTACTGCGCCAAGGTTTTGGTTCCCAAGGCTCTGGAGAGTTCTGCCCAGTTCATGCAGCAACTCTAGCTGCCGTTGCTCGTCCTGCTTCTTGGCGCAGGCATCAAACAGCCGCACTGACATAGGTGTGGGCACGCCGCCTTCACGGGGACTCCTCCAATCCACGTCTTGGACACTCATTGGCCTAATGCCTTGTCGTCGAGGGCGCCGCCACTGTTGTGGGAGCTCAGTGCATGACAACTCTGGCGGTGTCTCCTTGTAGCCTTTTGTCTTAAACAAGATGATCAACCAAGAGTGGCGAGAATGTAGCTGCATGCACCGCTTGCTCCAGCAGGGCACTAGCAAGTTGCACCTGTCACTGCACCAGTGTCAAGCCTAAAGGCGACTTAAATTTTATATGGCACTCCAGTCTTCTTCTGGCTCCTGAAGCATGTAGCTTGTGCATAGATGACACCAAGCCTTTTGGGATAACAAGGAAGGATATGTGAGCTGCGCTAAATGCCTTGTTTTTTTGTTTTGTTTTTTTACTGGTAAGCACCTTAAGGGCAGCAAAGAAAAGGCACAGCTATTGACCAAAGAAGTCGCTCATAAAAAATGTGAGGTGGGAGCCGCATATGGAATCTTCTCTGGGCTAGTGCTCATATAGGAAAAAAATACGTACTGAACTAAGTTATATTGCTGCTATCTCCTGGTACATTCTCACTTGCTAAAGTTCTAGTGCAGGTGTTTTTACAGTTGATATGTTGTAGCATAGGCGTGCTACGTCACGGTAAGTTGGCATTGCGAACTAGATAAGAAGAAATACGTTGACCGCTTATACATTAGCACACTTGCGGGCTATATCATCAGGAAGCTACGCGCGCACTTTGTTGTTGTTAAATTCGTCTCTTTTCATTCAGTGATGTAAATACGTGCCGAAAGCCCATTTCATACGCAGCGTAGTCGGATCCCGCCGCGAGTCCAACAAGCTCGCTCCGTCATGGCATACTAAGTAAAGCCTCCCATCGGTAACAAAAGCAAGGCTGGCTCGTGAAAACCACATCGTTTAAGCAACGTTTCAGCATAACACCAAGCATTGAAAATCGTTGACTTTTCAAGAGTTCCACGCGAACGCAAGTGCGCCGCTTTGGAAGAACTGCTTTGCCCGCTTGCGTAGCAGATACGACTTCGGCGTTGTTACGACTAGAACAACAAAGGAACAACGTGAACAAGCGTAGCAAGTAAATTATTTTTTTGTTTCACAATGTTTACAAAGGAACGCAAGTTACGCAACGGTATTAACATACCTCGAGTCGCAAACGTTTTTTCATCACTGACGAAGGCAGGGTGTACGCTTCGGTGGCAAAGGCGTACGACTTACTCCGCTGCCGTGACGATGGCGTTTCCGAAGCGCACAAGGCTTCTAACGCGCCCCCAGGTACCCGTGGTAACTCTTCCAGGTTATTATGCCACATTACGTGATCAAATGACGGAAAACTCTGCCGTTCGCTCATTGCTTCGCACGCTTCGCTGCCGCCGGCTTGCCACAACGAACATGGCGACGCTCTCAGTGTTGTCAGATCACCAAGCAATTTCGCATAAGGTCTATTGTTTTCTCAAATAAAAAATTTGACCGCACAATCCCTTTAAGAAACTGAGATAGTTAAGGCGATTTCTCGGAGACTGCTTTACTGAAAAAATACTTTATAAAAGTTCATAGGGTGGTTGACCCGTACATTACATATGGTGTTATGGGATACGGGTTTCCCGTATGCTAGTGGGAAACCGTACCTGTACAGGTTGACCCATTCAAATACAGGAACCCATACCTGTATGGGTTGACCC